TTTTTTTTATGTAGTTTTATTTTGAAATGTTCGGTTTCAAGCATTTTGCTTGCAATGATATTTGCGATATAAAAATCATTGGAACGTTTAGCAGGGGCATACACTACAGGAGATTTTAAGATAATAGCTTTCCCGATTTAACAGCTCGAATATTAGACCTCTCGATCTGATATTTGGTAAAAAGTATTCTTGAAAGTTTTAGGCTGATTGATTTGCAACTGAAAAAGCTGAATGAGCCTTGCCATTTTCTGGTTCTTTTTCTGATAATTAGTTTGTTTTTTATCGGTATTATTTTTAAAGGAAGGAGAAGTACTAATGATAATAATAATGATTGTTTGCAATAGTACGTGAACCAGCTCTAAAATGTCAAAAAGTGAGATTGTTTAGATACCGTTCATTTTGCTATTTGTACCTGCCCGGATCAACCCTCAAAGTTGTTACAAATTTGTCTCATAATGCTCAACAGTGCTATCCATGTGGTATACCGTAAACTGTTGCTTACAAGCCCCGGGCTTATACAACTTCGTAAGGGTTTTTAAATGGGCTTATAAACGGAGGGGCTTATATCTGAGGGGGCTTAAAACTGGAATATAAAAAAATCCGTTTGGAAACGAGCTATAGCTGCACATGTTGATCGAAATAGGTTTTTCATTTACTGGTAATTACGACCAAATGTCACCAAAAATCGAGAAAAGTTTAAATTTGGCGGCAAGAAGTTGAAAAATCTTTGGTTTTTCTTTCTTTGTCAACAAATAGCCCTCACCTCTTACGTATGAAATGTGATATAGTTTTTTTGAGCTCGAAGCGCTTTAACTTTGAGAAAATCGAGAAAAACGACTTTCGCCCCAGCGGTCGCCAAAATGGTCGATCGCAAAGATAAAAAATTAGGCATCTAAACTTTATTTTCTTTTCTTTTCTCGCGTGTAAAGGAGAACCAAAACTTATTGATACTGTTTCTTGAAAGAAAAAGTATTCAGCTATCAGAAACTGGCTATAACTAGACTCGCGCCATTCGAGGATTCGAGGAAAACACAAATGTTTAAAAAACGTCCCGTTGTTTACTCAGGTGATATTCCTAATTTAGGAATAAAATTCAGATATATTTTTCGACATGTGCCATAGTTCCAAATTCCTTGAAACTTCGCCTTTGAAACACTTTTATGTTGTTGTAAAACATTTTTTTTAAAATCAGTTTGGGTTATTCTTTGAGTGGTCTTTGAGGCCGATTTTACCTAAAACAACACGAAAAGTAAAGATTGGACTGCTGCGTCTTGCTCTGAAGGCAAGCGGGTATAGGCTTTTAAAGGCCTTTAACTGTTAGCTTTTTTGTATTGAACACTTTCATGTTGTTTTAAAACATGTATGAAAATCAGCTTGGGTTATTCTTCAAGGGGTTTTTCAGGGGCCGCTGAAATAACCAGATTTTAACGAAAACATCCGCAAAAAGGGCCGTCGATAAAACCAG